TCGTAGAGTACTCGTGAGAACTTGCAGTTTTTCAGGGCTTCGGGACTCCGGGGCCTCGGGCTTCCGGGTTTAGGGTTTTGAGCAAGCTGGCCGTCAAGACGCTATGTCGGGCTTCCGTGTTCTGATAGCATCTTAGGGTACATGGTTGAGCTCGGAGATAGGCTCAGGTACTGATATTTAGAATTTGAGGCTTTGTGGTTTAAAGGTAGTAAGGCTTAGTAACTTTCTGTGCTTCAAGGGTCTGGTATGGTCTGGCCGTCTAGAACTTTGGGCGATAAGCTTGGCAAGTTTAGGATAAACCCTAAGCCCCATGTAAACTGGGGATGATCCGGCTTCCGGTGTACGATAAAGGTTAAAAAAACCTGTCGAAGGATCTCAGAGGGAGGAGGTTTTTGTTATTGCGCAGGCCTGCGGAAGCGGATCACGGACTGAAGACCGGCTCCGTCAAGCAGGTGACTTATGCTAACAGCGGCAAGGAGACCGTCACGGGCTTCGAACAGCCCCTAAACCCTGAACTCGAGATAATACGAGACCATCCTAAACCCTGAATCTTAACCCCCCGAACCCTAAAACCCCAAGCCCCGCCACTGGCTTCTAGACCTATAGAACTGCATCATGTCATATCGTATTATGTAATTAATTATCACATACAACGGTCAATAATGTTACAGAATGTTGTAAGTACGGTAGAATTTATAACAGTACAGACCCCTAAGCCCCGAGTGTTCGAATCGATGCTTTTCGCAGACCGCTTGCAAAGCTGTCGCCACAGCGGGAGGTTCGTCCTACAATGCTACGCAGGGAGCTGTGCTCACACTGGGCGGGTAAAAGCTGTACAAAATCGAGGAAGCTCCAGCTAGAAATTCTCACGACTCTTGAACCAGGCTGATAGCCAGCATGTCAGCATGTTGATTGTGTTATCGGTATTCTTCAACTGCAGAGGCAACTAGTGACAAAAGGCGCGTTCTAGCCATGTGCTTGCGGTGTGCGAAGGTCAGACTTGCCTCATTGGAGAGCTCTACTCGACAGGCCCCACACGCTGCCCGACATTCTGCTCCATCATGTCCCTGTAAGCCTCCTTGGGACCGGGGAGTTCGGCCGTGAGGAGGCATACTTCCTTAAATAAGCCTTATCAGGTCCCTATTACTGGTATTAAGGCCCCCTACC